GAAAAGTATAAAAACAAAGTATAAGAAGTAAAGCCATGCTGTTATGTTGAGCTGTAGGGGACTCAGGTCAACATCTGACATTGCCAGTGAAGCGGAAGACCCAATACTATTATGGACTACTGGACTCTTTTAGAATATTTTGCTGAGTTAACACACCTATAATATTCAAGTAACAGAACTTAACAAAAAAAAGAAGATATAGATGAATGTCCATTTTGTATCTGTGTATTCAAAATGGTTAGGATGGGGGCCGGGGAGATGGCGCAGTAGAATAAGCCCTTGCCTGGCAAAATGGTTAGGATATATAGTTACATTCTCTTAATGAATAGAGGGATTTGTTCTAATAGTGTTTGTAAATAGGATATCATGTCCATATCTTGTACAGCAATTAACCACTAGGAAGAATGTATGCAATGTGTTAATTATTGAAACTGTCCTACCAATTTGGTTTGAAACTGTCTCATTACTATTTGTTTTTCAATAAAATTATGGAAAAAAAAAAAAAAAAAAAAACGCTTTCCACTGCTGGTGGAAATGTAGACTGGTGCAACCATTATGGAAATCAGTGTGGAGACTCCTTAAAAAACTAGGCCAAAAATCCCATTTAAAGGAGCTATCCCCTTACTGGTAATTTTCCCAAAAGAAAGGAAAAAATTATATCATAGTGATATATGTGCACCTATGTTCATATCAGCACAATTTGTGATATCCAAATGTTGAAAGCAAATAAAATGCATATCACTTGAAAAAAGAAAAAAAAGAAATAGCAAATCTCAATAGAGCTATCACAAGACATGAATTAGTAATTTAAAAAATCACCTACCAAGAAAGGACAAGAACCAGATACCGTCACAAGGGAACTTTGTCAAATGGTTAAAGAAAAATTAAGACCAAATCTTCATAATTCTTCCCAAAAAATAGAAAATGAGGAAACACTGCCAAATTCATTTGATAAGGTCAATATAAACCTGATACCAATTCCAAAGACATAACAAGAAAATTTCAGACTACTGCAATTGCTTACAAATGTAGATGAAAAATCTGCAACATAATACTAGCAAACCAAATCTATAAAAATATTTTTAAAATTATACAGGATGTCTAAGTGGCATTTACCCCATGAACAGTAGATTGGCATAATATGATAATCATCTAATAAACCAATCATCAAAACCACTATAATAGAGGGCCGGGCAGATGGCTCAGTGGAATAAGCGCTTCCCTGGCAAGCGCAAGGGCCTGAGTTCAATCCCCGGTTCCGCAAAAAAAAAAAAAACACTATAATGAATACAGAAGCCAGGTGTGGTGATGCATGCTTGTGATCCTAGTACTTAGGAAGTTAAGGCAAGACGATCACTACGAGTTTGAGGCCAACCTGAACTACATAGTGAGCACCCCTATCTCAAACCACTCCCCCACCAAAAAAAAACAAAACCAGAAATGGCAAGCCTGTAATCCCAGCACTAGGGTGGCTGAGGCAGGAGGCTCATTGCGAGTTCGAGACCAGCCTGGGCTACAAGTAAGCTCAAGGCCAGCCTAACCTGCATAGTGAGATCTTGTCTCAAAAAGACAAAAACAAAATAAACAAAACAAAAACAGAAAATTTATTTGACAAAATTCAACACTTCATGAAAAAATATTTTTAAATGGCAAAAATATTATAGATTACATGTATGATAATTTTTAAAAATCTTTTAATGAGCAAAGGAAGTAATTTTTCTGCCAAAAAAAAAAAAAAAAAAAAGAAAAAAGAAAAAAAAAAAAAAAAAAAAAAAAAAAAAAAAAAAAAACCTAAGAGAACACAGCACACTAAAAACTTGGTCAATAAGCACATGAAATAATGTTCAACATAATTGGCCATTAGTGGAAAAACAGTGGTACATGCCTGTAATTCTAGTGCTCTAGAAGCTAAAATAAAGGAGCATAAATAGGACCCTGCCTTAGGAAGTTAGCAAGATTTTGTCTCAATAAGAAAGAAGATCTGGAGAAATAGCTCAGTGTAAAGACCCTGTACCTTTGATACTTTTCAATCCTCAGTACAAAAAATTAATAAATTGGCAGGGGATGTAAAATGATGCATCCATTTTTTTTTGTTGTTGTTGTTTGTGCAGGGTTTCACTACGCAGCTCAAACCTGTAGTAACCCTCCTGTTCTCAGCCTCCCCAGTGCTAGGATCACAAGCACACACCACCACGCTCAGACTCAATCACCAACTCAGCAAACCTGGGCCCAGGGCCAACACTGTGTGGTGCCAGGGATCCATGCCTGGCCCCCGTGCTTGCTTAAGCAGGCACTTAGTCCACTGAGCTACCTCACCAGCCCTGGTACATCCAGTTTTAAAAATGGGAGCCAGCTGCTGTGGCACATATCTAAAATCCCAGCACTTAGGAGGCTGAAGCAGGAGGATCACCATGAGTTCAAAACCAGTGTGAAGTACCTAGTGAATTCAAGGCCAACTTGAACTACGTCATGAAACCCTGTCTTAAAAGAGCAAAAATAAATAAATAAATAAATAAATAAATAAATAAATAAAATGTTCTGGTAATGGGGATGTAGTGTAGCTGTACTGTGTGCTTTCCTAGCATGTACATGAGGCCCTGAGTTCAATTCCCAGTACCTCAAAAGGGTAGAAGAAATGGTTCTGCAATTCTTCAAATGATTACCTACAGCATTATTACATGACCTACTAATTTCACATCTCATTATATATCCAAGAAAAATGAAAAACTATATAATTTGTACATCAGTCATAATAGCCACAAAGTAGAAACACAAATGTACAACAAATATGGGACAGCAATGTAATAAAATAATACTTGCCATTGAACAAATGAAGTACTGATGCATGCTAAACTATGGACGAACCTAAAAACATGCTAACTAAAAGAAGTTAGTCACAAATGACTTCATACTAGGGCCAGCCAGGTAGCTCAGCGGGTTAAAGCGTCTGCTTAGGCAGAGCACAGCGGCTGGGTTCCATTCTAGGTGTGCTGTGCTGGCCCCACCCCTGGGGCACACTATGACAGTGATTGAGACTGGGTGTGGTGGCACAAACCTGTAATCCCAGCACTTGAGAGGCTGAAAACAAGAGGATCACTGAGTCCAACCTATGTAGTGAGACCCTGTAAACCCTGTCCTAAATACAAAAAACAAAAGACTTCATACTACAGTATATGATTCTACTTATATCCAAAGTCTACAATAATATATCTATGAAAAAATATCACCCAAGGTATGCTGGGGGCCCCCATGTCTGAGTACTTAGGAGGCTGAGGGAGGAGAATCACCATGAGTTCAAAGCCATCCTGGACTACACAATGAGTCCAGGCCAGCCTGAACTACATAACCCTGTCTAAAAAAAAAAGAAATAAAATCTACATAAAGTAGATTAGTAGCTGCCTAGGTTTGGGAGAGGTGTCAAGTGTGAATGACTGCTAAAGACAAGAGGTTTTGCTTCAGTGCTGAAAGTCTTCTAGAATTAAATTATAGTAAGAATTGCACAACAGACTAGAAATCACTGTATTTATTTATTTATTATTTTTTTTTTTTTAGTACTGGGAATGAAAACCATGGCACGCTGCCATTGAATTACACCCTCAACCCTTTTTACTCATCTCTTCCCTCCTTTTTTGAGACAGAATTTCACTAAGTTGACCAGATAGGACTTGAACTTGCAATTCTCCTGCTTTAGCCTCTCTCAAAACTAGGATTACACGAGTGTGCCATTGTGCCCCACTTTATTCTATGTTTCAAATAGGGGAATCAGATGATATATGAATAGCTCAATAAAAGAATTTCCACTACATCAGAAGGTTGCATGTTCATATCACGTTGGGGTCACCAAAAGAAAAATAAAAAAGAAAAAAGAAAAAGAAAAAGAAAAAAGAATTTCCAAAAGGAGAAATGAAGATATTCTCACAAAAAGAGAAAATTCCTTAATATAGTCAGAATTTAAGCTTTGACTATACCAATGAAATGCATACTAAATAATTTTATATTGTTATTATTTAAAAAGTTTTAAAAGTCAAAATGTGTAGCATCACTTTGTATTAAAATGTTAAAAAAAAAAAAAAGAACAATCACACAGCACTGTTCTCTGATGAGCTATGAGCCTCATCAAGACAATTGGTTTCAGGTAGGCATTGACCAGTCCTGAAGTCCTTCCAGATTATTTTGAAAATGTTAAGACAGCTAGCCTTATGTGGCCGAAGTAATATGCAAAAATCTATCCAGATATATGTTTAGACACTTGCGTCTTGAACATCTTTCAATTTTTTTGCTGACAAAAATATGCAAAAGATGATTTTGTTATTTTAATAAATTAATTACATTTGCTGAATATTAAAAAAAATTCCTTAGTATAGGATAATGTCTTGGCAACACTACATGCCCAATTTCTATCCTCTGTAATTTTTGTCATATATTTTCTATTCACATATAAACATGTTGACAGTATTAGTTTAGAGAGTTGTCTTTCAGAGCAAAAAATTTAAAAAACTGAAAATTCAGTACCTTGCTTTATATGAGCTATTCCAAGCACTGCTTCTGTGTGTACTTCTTTGTTGTGCACATCCAAGTTTCTGTCTAGTATCATTCTCTAAGCTAGAAGAACTTTCTGGAACACTTAAATGTACTATAGGCATTTGGCAAGGAATTTTCTTGCCAAAGTGAACCAAATGTGCCTTCCCTTCTAAGATCACATTTTTAATTCCAACACTCTTCCTCTAATAAGTCAAACATATAATCTGCAGATACCTCCATATGCAATTTCAATAATTTAATAAAATTTCAAATAGGATGCATCTATACCCTTAAGAACTCTTTTCCTGGGGCCAGGGAGATGACTCACTAGAATAAGTGCTTGCCTGACAAACGCAGGGGCCTGAGTTCAATCTCCAGTTCTGCCAAAAAAAAAACAAAAAAAAAAAAACACCCCTTTTCCTAACAACCAAAAAACAAAAAAAAACTAGCGGTGATTAAACTAAAAAATGAACACGTACGTGCAATTTTTCTTTTAGCTAAACATTTTGCTCTACTTGACTGCTTTGTCTTCATTTTCTGTAATCCAGTTTCATCCTTTGGTTCCTGTTGCAAAAGAATAAAATATTATCAGGGTGGTTGCCGTGAAGAGTATGGCTAAGAGAGGTCTCTTAAAGAATCAGTGATTGTTACAAATGTGCACATAAGACCTCAGAAGAGGCTTTTATTTCCACACACAAAATAAAAAAGGCATACCAGATCTGGAAGCAATAATACCATAAAAGTTAAAATATATAGTAAACTGGTATCTGCCACATACATAGACATAATAACCGACAAATCTTCAAAATACCAGTCAGCAAGGGCTGGGATGATAGCTCAGTGGCATAAGCATCTGCCTGGCAAGTGAAAGGTCCTTACGTAGATTCCCAATACAAAAAAAAAAAAAAAAAGTCAGCATTTACTCAAGACTACAGAAGCTTGATTCAATGCTTAAAAAACAGCAATGTTTAAATTAAGCATATATTTATTTTAAATCATTCTTTGGTCACTAAGTAATAAAAGAATTCTATAAAAACAAGAGAATCAAATACACCAGCCACAAGCCACCTCAAAATTTAACAAGACGCACTGAAGACCAAATAAATAAATAAATAAATAAATAAATAAATAAAATCTGGACAATAGAAAATAATCAAGACAATAAAAATGAGCTAAAAGAATGTGGCTGAAATAGAATATAGGGAATGATGAGCCTGAGGCAGGAGACCAGGACATGGTCAACTGGCTGACCAAGTGGGTATGACCTCTCAATCAGAGAGCTCCTTAATACATGAAGAAAATAGTTCCCAAACTCAGCACCTATGACCAATTAGAAAATACTATCTTCAGTTCTTCTAGCATGAAATCAAGCAGGTTTCTGATAGAACAACCTAGAGCTGATGTCAGCCTGAAAACTGGGGAACACAAATGATGTCAGGCATTAACCTCATCAGCACTGCGAAATTTCTCAATGGCCCAATCTCATTCTGAACAGTGTCCATCTTTTCTTACTTTTAAGTAGCCCTCTCTCACTCTGCAGAGCAAACTTCTTTTCTACCTGTAATAAATGTAAGACAGGTGTGGTGCTGCATGCTTATAATCCCAGCACTGGGCAAGCTGAGGCAGAAGAATCACCATGAGTTTGAGAGGCCAAGTAAGGCCAGCCAGCACTAGATCATGAGACCCTGTGTCCAAAAAAAGTAAAATCTCACTACCTTTTTTGCATATCCTACCCAATTCTTTGTTCAGGACACCGAGAACCTAGAAAAAATTTCTAAAAAGTGTCTACTCAACCCTAGAACCAGGTGCAGGGAGGAGGGCGGGGGAGTCAATCCCCCGGGCCTGCAGTGCCAGCCCTGCCCACGAGGTGTGTTGAAACAGCAATTGAGACTGGGCGTGGTGGGGTGGGCCTGTGATCCCAGCACTTGGGAGGCTGTAAACAGGCAGATTACTACGAGTCCAATCTAGTAGTGAGACCCTGAACACCCTATAGACCCTTCCCTAAAAAATACAAAGAAAAAAAAAATAGAACTGGTAATAACTATAGATATAAATACTGTAAATATCAAACATAGAACTTAAACATTCTATGTAATATAACTCATAAATATTAGCAATTACATATAATTTATGTATTATGTAATGTTATGCATGTATTATATATGATATATAGATTAGATTAGATAGACAGACAGACAGACAGATAGATAGAATTTAATACTGGAAAAACAGTATCAAACATGTAAGAACCTGGGAAATGTAAGGCCTATACGCTGAAGGCCTTCTTGACAATCTCAAAAAGAAAGAGCATCATTCAACCAAAAAATGGTCAGAAAAACTGGCCAAAGAACCAACAATCAATTTTAATGTATTTAATTTTAGATCTAAGACCAAAGCTAAAGCACAGATAAAAGACAAGAAAAATATATAAATTTTTATCTTCTAATAGTAGAAAGGCATGCTATAAAGGTACTCATTAGAAAAATAAATACTTTTGCTAGAATTATCAAAATATATGCCAAAATAGTTTAAAAAACAAAGAACATATAAAAAGAAATACATTTTAGGCCCTGCATGCTGGAGTACACCTGTAATCTCAGTACTTTAAAAAGTTGAAGCAGGAGGACTGCCACAAGTTCAAGGCTAGCCTGGGCTACACGGTGAATTCAAGCCCCTGTGGCAAAAAAAGGAGAAAAAAACACACAGACACACACACACACAAACATGGCATTTAGCATATGAAGCATGATTGAAATATATGATATGTGTTATTATAGTTGCTGTTTTGGTTTGTTTTTTTGTTTTGTTTTTTGAGACAGGGTCTCTCTATGCAGTCAGGCTGGGCTTGTACTCATTTTTGTTGCCCCCAGGCTGATCCTGAACTCACAGCAATCCTCCTGTCTTAACCTTCCAGCCTCCCAACCTCCCACGTGCTGGGATTACAGACATGCTCCACCATGCCTGGTTACATGTTGACTTTTTTTTAAAAAAAGCCTATTACAGTAAAAGACACATTGCCATTAATTCCCCTCAAAATCATTTCACTTTGGTAAAGAAATCACTTATGTCAGATATAGTAAATAAGATAGATGAGGGGTAGATAAGGACACACTAATTTTTACAAGCTTGCCTTTCTGATGGCCCGCAGCATCACATCTCATAAAGACACAAAAGGACTTTCAGGACTGCTTCAGAAATTGCAAGAATGATGAAAAAATGTGTCCAAGGGGCCAGGGAGATGGCTCAGTGGAATGTGTGCTTTCCTGGCAAGCACTAAGGGCCTGAGTTCAATTCCCGGTTCCACCAAAAAAAAAGAAAAAAACAAAAAATGTGTCCAAAATGAGGGAAAGCATTTTGAGGGGAATTAATGGCCATGTGTCTTTAATGTAATAAAAAAATTTGAATTGTTTTGTTTTGTTTTTTGGGTTTTTTTTAATTGTTTTAACTCGCTATATTTTTATCTCCACTTACACATGACAGAATATAACAAAATACAACTCGGCTTTATACAAGAGATTCAGTTACGATAAAGCAATCCGAAATGGCTAACATGGGGCCGGGGAGATGGCACAGTGGAACAAGCACTTCCCTGGCAAGCACAAGGGCCTGAGTTCAATCCCCAGTTCCGTCAGAAAAAAAAAAAAAAAAAAAAAAAAAACAACCAAAATGGCTAACAAAGAAAGGTCTAGAAGATAATGGTAACTGTCTGAATCTGAATCTCTCTGCTTATCCTACAGAAAAATCACAAGACCAACAAGGGCTATAACACCATGTATGATCAATGCCTTCAGCATTATGAGGAGACAGAATGTATCACACACTTAAAATTACCTCCAAGTAGGAAATACAGCTAACAAATAACTTTCAATGAAAAAAAAAAAATAATAATAACTTTCAATGTTCAAGTCTGTAAATACAAAGAGCAGATCAAAGGAGTTTAAAGAGACTTCACAAAAAATTAAGAGAGGTCTTAAAAATAATAAGTAAGAAGCATGCTATAGGTTCTCAACCACTATCCCTAGACTGAACGCAGGGCCTCACACCGTACATGCTAGGCTGGTGTGTTACCACTGAACTACATCCCCAGCCCAGGAAATATGCTCCAAACATAAAGATGTGAATAGGTTTTAAAAATGAAAGAGAAATACCATGATCAGAGTATTTTAAAGAGCTGTAAGTCAGGATGGTAGTTCATGCCTCTAGCCTCAACATTTGGGAGGCTGAGACATAAGAATAAGGCCTAGGGTACATATGGTAAGACCTGTCACCAAAAAAATAAAAAGAAGGCTGTATGGCCCCAGCATATTAGAAATAAGAAAGTAAACATAAACACAAGGCCAGCACTAAGAAAAAGCCATCCATTTGCAGTACTCCACACTAAATAACTAGGTTTGGTGAACATGGATGTTATGGTTTTTATCTAGACATCCCCCCAAAGTCTCAAATATTCATAGGTGAGGCTTTGCAGAGGTAGCTGGGTCTAGGGTGTGTGATGCTAGTATTAAGGATATGTGATTACTAAATTAGTCCACTGACTGGTCTGGCATAGTTCTAGAGGTCTATAACAGGAAGACCCACCCTAAGTGTGAATGGCACCACACAAAGGGTGGGTAACCTAGATGAACATAAAGGGACAGAAAAAAAGCAGACCAGCCACTGCTTCTTCATTACTTTTCTATTTGCTGCCTTCTTCCCACCATGAACTATTTCTCCTTTTGATGCTCCATCATGTCACCATGCTTCTGAGCCAGCCAACTTAGACCTCTACAAACTGTGAGCTATAATAAGTCAGCTTAGACTGACAGTGATCCTCCTGTCTCAGGCTCCCCAGTGCTGGAACTACAGGTGTCCACCACCATGCCCAGTTTCAGTGGCCAGCATAGTGCACCCAAGGCAGGGCCAAAACATCATGTGGTACTAGAGATGGAACCTGGGTCCTTGCGCTTGCCAGATAGGTGCTTAGACCATTGAGCTATCTCTCCAGCTTTGAGTGCCAGGTATTTTGATTCAGCAATGAGAAAAGTAACTAAGACACTCGAATACTAAGAATATATGAGACTAGTTTTTACACTGGTGAAAGTTCTGCAATAATATAGGTATATTTTTTATGTTTAAAACTTGTTTTAGAGAGAATAATCTTTAAAATTAAACATTACCATTAATTGTATTTCTATAATACTAACAGCTACATATACAGTAAATAGAATAATCCATTTAGAAAATATTAAAGTTATTTTCCAGACATTATAATTGTCTTAGTTACTTTCTGGTTTCTGAAACACAATACTCAAAACCTATAACTCAAAGGATCATTTCTAGAGATTTTAATCCACAATCATCTGGCCCAAAAGTAGGATGGCATGGCACAGGGGCACAGAAGAGGAAAATTGGTGGAAGAGGAAAACTGTTCATGGTATGGCAGGCAGGAAGCGGGGGAAAAAAGGGACACAAGATAGCCTCCCAGGCCATGCCCCCAAGTGACCCACCTCCTTCCACCATCACATGTAGGCTACAAGTTTATCAATGGATCAGTCATTAATGAGTATCACCACCTCATGATCCAG